CATTGAATTCATATTATATACTTCATACTTGAATACATAAGCCATGGACTAGATGACTAGCATTCAATTTTTGGCCACTTCACATAAAATAATGGCTATTATTTTTCTATTATGGTTGTTGGGTTCAAAATTATTCATGAATTACTAAATAATAAATCAGAAAAAGAGAAAAAAGAGAATGTAAAAAAACTGATGTATAATTTTACTATATTATCAAAAATATAATCTTTAAGATTAATGATTAGAATGTGCTTCATAGAAAGGCTTATATTTAGAGGTTATTTGATTGACTTAAAAAAAAAATGAGTGTAAAAGGAATATTTTGAATTGTTTGGATAAATGTAAAGTAAATTTACTTAAATATATATTTTTTTTATAAGTAATGAATGCAATGTAAAATTCAAAGATTAAAGATGGTGATGACTGGTGCATGGCAGTGATGGTGGTGCTGATCATCGGCGGGTGTCGGTGTCAGCAGTGGTTGGCAGCGGGTGTTGCTGGCTAGTGAAGGTGTTGGCTAGCGGTGGGTGACGGTCTTGACATAAAGGAACATTATAATATGTCTAATAATAAAATAAAAACATTTGCGACAAAATCTAATGTTCACCTTTCTAAATCAAATGCTTCAATTTCATCCGAGAGTGTCCTCCGTATAATTTTCTGGTGAAGAAATAGTATTTAGAATAAAGAAGCATTTTCCAACATTGTTGTGGGATAGTGATGCCTTAAAATAAAAGAAGAAAATGATCTGCACATCGATCCAGCGACAGTTTCTTGGTGCTTTTCCGTGAAAACCAAAGAAACTTGTGGTACAAACAATGAAAAAATAAAGAAGAGACAAAGAAATGTTAGGTGTTGTACATCTTTCTTCATAGCTAAGATTTTGTTACTTTGTTTTTTTTTTTTTTTTTTTTTTTTTTTTTTTTTTTTTTTTTTTTGGGGTAAATATGGGCATATTCGCCCTTTTCATTATGAAAATGATCAAGATACAGGTAAATAAGATTACTGTAAAGAAAAACCATGAAGAAAGCTAAGGCCTACAAAAACTGGGGGATGAGAACAAAACACCCCAATACAAAAAGGATAAACAGAAAAAACCTATAAAAGTAAATAACAGGACCAGAAAAGAACCGCAGGAAGAGGGAGGCAAACAAGCCCCGGGCTCAGGAATTGCCACACTCTCTACCTGGTTGCAAAAATGTTACCAAAAATCTGCCCTCCAAAGGAGAACACGGCAATCCAATCATCCTAGCCCATCTTCCAGAATACAATATCCCAGTGAACGCAAACAGAGGAAAGGCATCTCCCGTGAATCCATCCAGAAAGCCAAGAAAGTCCAAGGCAAAGTATCAAAGATGCACAAAGCAGCAATACCATGAAGCTAACAGCCATACAAACAATATAGCTCCAGAATTCCTTCCAGCACCCCCCTGTAGCTTACAGCAAATCCATCAGAATTTCTCTAGATTTCCATCTCATAATCTTAGAGAGCACAGCAGCTTTGATTTTAAGAGCTAAAGATGTTGAAGACACAGAATTGCCCCCAAATTTCCTCTCATTCCGTTCTCTCCATATAAAATAAACCGAAGTGCATATAAGAAGATAATAAAACTCCTTGTTCTTATCATGTGTATCCTTAATATATTCGAATATTTGCAGCACATTGGGTCTAAACAGAAGGTACCCAAGATTGGACATGAGTTTAGAAATTATAGAGAAGGAATAGTCACATTCAAAGAAAAGATGACTAACCGACTCCGCATAACAATGACATAAAGCACAATTGGGATCCACAATGATCCCTTTAGCTAACAGAGAATCCGCAGTTTTTAACCCTCCAGAGATAGCCATCCAGCAAAATGAAGAATATCTAAGGATGTATTGCTTATGCCACACAAATTTCCACCAATTCAACTTAGCATAATGTTTAAAGTAAAACTCCCTATAATGCCTGTGCTTGCACCTCTTACCAGTACCCCAATACAGGCTAGCCTGAGTACTAGGAATAAGAGTGATATCGGAAAGAGCATTATGAACAGTTTCAGGCATGTATGCAGGTAAAACCCATGTATCCCCATTTATAATAGCAGAAATCCGCCCATTGACCGGAAAAGCGCACAGAAGGGGCCTGAGAGGAACAATATCTCTAACACATTTATCATTAAACCAATGTCCCCATTTATAATAGCAGAAATCCGCCCATTGACCGGAAAAGCGCACAGAAGGGGCCTGAGAGGAACAATATCTCTAACACATTTATCATTAAACCAATGATCCCAGAATAAAGCAAAATTGGAATTAGCTGAAACTCTAAAATGAAAATTATCTTTAGCCAAGATCGCATCCCTGCAAACATACTTCCAATACTTGGAAGCTTTGGAAAGAGGTTCCTTCCAAGGGGAGATGTATAGTTTTAACAGCCATTTACTGAGAGGACTATTAAAGTTATATATTCTGGTGATGAGAGAGCAATTGAAGCTAAATTGAAGTGATTGCAAAGATGGTAAGCCAATTCCTCCCAATTCTTTCGGCTTACAGGTATTCTTCCAAGAAATAAGATGCAATTTTTATTCTTCCAAGGAGATACTAAAGCTAAAAAATTACTTTGTTTAAAATAAAAACATTTGCGACAAAATCTAATGTTCACCTTTCTAAATCAAATGCTTCAATTTCATCCGAGAGTGTCCTCCATATAATTTTCTGGTGAAGAACTAGTATTTAGAATGAAGAAGCATTTTCCAACATTGTTGTGGGATAGTGATGCCTTAAAATAAAAGAAGAAAATGATCTGCACATCGATCCAGCGACAGTTTCTTGGTGCTTTTCCATGAAAGACAGAAACTTTTGGTACAAACAATGAAAAAATAAAGAAGAGACAAAGAAATGTTAGGTGTTGTACATCTTTCTTCATAGCTTAGATTTTGTTACTTTGTTTTTATTAAAAGAGAATCATTTTTTTTAGGGAAACATCAATTAAGACAAAATTTTAAGGAAATTGATCAATTTTTTTTTAATTTTCACATGATTTAATTCTATTCATTATTTATTTAAACAAAATTAATCATATAATTTATGTCATGACATTGTTTTTTTTTTTTTTAAGAATGCTTACTTTGATTGATTTTATTGCTGACAATGTTGAAGCACATCATCATCTATAGAGTCGATGCATAGAGATGAAACAAATATAGAGGCCAACCAACTTTATTGCTTGCCATACTCAATTATGAGAGCATAACAAGATTATATCTTTTATTTTTCTCCAAATTTTTATTGAAGCTTTTATTGCATTTTGTCTTCAAAGTGAACTAATTCATCACTTGATTTGAAAATTTCAAGCTCGTGACATAATTTTTCCCCTCTGTGTTGCATATCCATCTTTTTTATGGATCCTATATTGACTGCACCAACATAGTCTGTTGATAATACGAGGAACTGATTAAATAAGAATTATGAGAGAAATGTATTGTGCAAACAATCACAGTGGAAACAACAAATCACAACACAAACGCAATAAACACGGCGATTTATATGGTTTGGTGAAGATGCCTACGTCCATGGAAGAGGGGATGATGCTTTCACTATATTAGATAAAACAATAGTTAATTACAATAGCTCTTTAGCTTTCTCTTCTCATACATTCAACAATAGCTAGCCCCCACGGCTCTATTTATAGATTTGAGCAAAAGTAAATTATGAAAAAGCTTCATAAGTTAATCCTAATCAAATCTCAATCAAATTCCTAATTAATGTAATAATTAGATCTCTTAATTAATGCATTAATCAAATCAACTTAATTAGAGAAATAATCTATTCCCTAATTAATTACAATAGTGAGTCATTAAAGTCTTCCAAATCAAGACTGATTAGATTTGGAATTCTTTCCAAATCAACAAAATGTAATCTTAGCTGAACAGAAGCCCTTAATCATTTTCTGTTGTTTGCAATCTGTGATTAATCAAGTGGTTAATTACTTGAAAAAGTATGGGCACAGAAATGATTTTTGGGTTGAATTAAGATAGAATGGAAGTATGGAGCCGGTCTTTCTCTCCAACTAAAACCTAAAGCAAAAGGGTACCAACCTAATCCACCCCCTCCATCTATTTCCTTTGCAGTTGCAACAGCTCACTTGAAGCCCATTATCCCAACCAAAGCCACCGCAGCACTGAAAAAGCTGCCAAATTCTACCCAACTTTGGCTCACAAGGCCCTACGTAATTGGTCGTGGGCAAAAAAAACGCGGTACCGAGGTGTACTGAGTTTTTCAAAAAACTCGGTACACCTCGGTACTGAGTTTTTTTGCCTACGACCGAATGCTTCTCTGCATCCGGTCGGAGGACGTAATAATTATTCCTACGTTGCAGCACGCACTAAGAGGGAGAATCAGAAGCTGTTTGGGACAGCTTTTTTTTTCTCCCTTCGTTAGCTTGTTTTGTTACAAAATTTGTTATAATGGGATTTGGCTTTTAACAATCAGATATCATAGAATCTGATATTTGTGAAAAAGATGTTCAAAAAAGTTTATAGTAATTACAATATTTATAAAAAATTTACTTTTTTCATAACAATTTTATAGATATTTTTATAATTTGTGATTTAATTTGTTTAAAGTTCAAAAAAACATATGGAAAAGAAAAAGACAATTGAGCCTTATTTATGACGCTCTCTACAAAAGTAAAGAGTTGGTGCTTGTTGTAAGCTGATAAATTAAAGAATGGTAAAGAAGAAGTATTACTGAACCTCATCGGGTTTAGCTGGGTTGGTGGGCGAGTGTGGTTGGGAACCCCCAACTAATGTTCGATTCCTCTCTCAAGAGGCGCAACTCCTTAAGTGGGAAGAAAATAATTGCGTGGTACAGTACCTGTAGGGCTGCTGGTTGCCACGTCCCGCCAAGGGATTAGTTACTCTGCCAAACATCTCCTCTAAAAGGTGGCAACGGATAGATAGGCCATCCAAAAAAAATGAAAAGAAGTATTGCTGAGTTCTATATTGTCAGAAATGGAAGCTAACAAAACTATTGAGTAAAAGCCTCAGCCTTAGAACAGAATCAAAATACATTGACTGAAACTTCCACCTGCACACTAACTCACTAAGAAACAACCTGAGCTGACAATCTATCTCACTTTTTATGCAGCAACCCCTAATTTCACACTTCACAACCATCACTACTTCGTGCACTGTAAGTCTGAAACATACAAATTAAAACTAAAAAACATAACTTTTATGACAACTTTCAATCAATTGCTTTGAGAGATTGCAAAATCACTCACTCCTACATCAAAAACTAATATATCTCACAGTCCTCAATTAAATTTTATCAGTAGAACACATAGCATCACCAGTACAGTAATACGCTTCTAAAATCTACAGAATTGGGAGAGTAGGACTCTCCCACATATCAAACACATTCTCCTCACTATGCAAAGCAAACAATCGATCGCCGCCGATTGAAAAATCATGGATAGAACCGCCAACACTGCTCCGCAATGTTGATGTTAGCACCCAATCAGGTCCGCTGAACACCGAAATGGTGTCGTTCATCGACGAGAACAGCTGGCCGCTTTTCATCACCAGCTTCGGATAACACGTCTCCTCTCCCCTAACCTTCCTCTTCAAAAGTTTGCTCCTTGAGCTCCATCTAACCCCTCCTCCTCTATTACTCCTAAGGTCCAAGAACCCCAAATCCTCATACTGGTTCACAACACATATGGATCTGTTATTTTCCATCACAATGGCATGGAGAACTCTCTTCTCATCAAGAGAAGCAGTCGTCATTCTTCCATCATCAGTCCATGACCACACCATGTTCTTCTCTCTAAAGTCCAGTATCCCAATGAAACATTTCTCTATTCTTGGAAAAATTGTTGCCACCATCAAAAAGTTATCGCCTTTAATCCACTGCAGTTCATCGGCTTCGCCAAAAGGGCAACCTGGAGGCTCATAGAAGAAATCGGATTGGTCTCCGGTGTTCTGATCCCAGACACCAATTCCGTATTCATTGGATCTGCCTTTGCAGCTTGCAAAGATTTTGAATTGGGAATCACTGAAGCAGAGAGCGCCGGCAGTAAAGGTCTTAGCTTTACTGTCGTGGTAGACACGGAAGCGGTGGCGGAGCTCGCCGGATGAGGAGGAGAAGAGACCCATGCCCCCGATTGTATGGCCAGGGCGCTCGCTGACGGTGACGACGATGTGACCGGAGTCAACGTAGCCGGCGTCGTTGACCTGCTGGTAGTCGAGATTGATCGGGCGGTGCTCATCGAGCATCCAGTCATAGATGTGGACAACTCTGCCGTGGGCGACGCAGCAGCCGCCGTCGGGAGAGGCGCGGATTGCGGTGGCGTCGCTGGGGGCGCGGCCATAGATGGAAGAGGAGAGGCGGAGGCGGTCTCCGTCAAAGGGGCCCCACCGGGCGGCTCGGACGTGGTCAAGAAGGCCGTAGAAGAGGGCTTCGCGGTAGAGGAGCTTGTCCGGGAGGTGGGGAGGGAGATGGAGCTCGCCGGAGCGGAGCAGGTCGAGCAGGACAGAGAAGCACGCCGGGTTACGGTCAATGAAATATTCAGCTGCAGCTCCGTCGCCGGCGTTTAGGTTCCAGTTTTCATCAAGGAGCGCGCCGAGCATGGAGTCGCGGCCGGCATTGGCTAGAGTTGTAGTGGTAGTTTCGAAGATCTTGCCGCCGACGTTAAAGCGGACGCGATCGGACCCTTTCGCCATTTCTGAATCCTATGGGTTTCGCTTGATTGAAGAAGGAAGAAAGATGAGATTTTGAAGATTGGAGAATGAGCAGGGATTGATTTGGAAGATGGGTCTTGGTTTTGGTCGATTCGAACGGGAATAAAATGGAAGTATTTTCCTCGTTCGGGGGAAATGGTCAGCTCCTCGGTTAATGATGAGCAGCGAAAGGGTTTTTAAAGGGAAAGCATGATCACTTGGTGCGGTTCTGTGAAATGGAAGAAATTTAAAAGTTTTAACTGTAACGGATTCGGATTCAGTTTCTGGTTTGTAATGCTGAATTCATTGACGAGTGATTATCATTATTATTATTTTAAGCAACGAAGATAATTAAAGTAAGCCATTTCATTATTTCAACGTTCGTGCATAGGAGCAGAACTGGTCTTTAGTGCGGGAATCAGCCGTTGGACGGTGGTGATCTCGGGAGAGCATTTAATGAACGGTGGTGTTTGACTGGGAGACCTTCGCGACTGAGTCTTGTAAAAATGAGGTATCCAGCGCAGGAAATGGATATAAAGCTCTTGACTTAGGCATCCACTAAACTGTTTGGGATCGAAGGAGATTAAAATGGCACATCTAATAATCTCATCGCGCTTGATGATGATAATCCCCTCATAATTTAGTCAAAGAAGCCATCATCCCGTCGGCCTTCCTATGCTAAAAGGTAATCAATATTATTGCCTCGGATCCGATGGGGGCGTTGGGCGTGCCAAGAAATGCTTCAGTTGATCTTCTTCCAGTAGGGTTTTTCCTAACTTTCTTGATAACTCGAAAGCACTGTCTTATGTCAGCTTTCATTTTGTTAGAGACACATATTGGAGCTGTCCAAATTTCTTGGAGGGTGATGACACTCAAAATCGGGTTATGGGTCGAATTCGGGCTCTACCCGGAATTGACTCGACACAAGTTGATCCGACCTATTTTTGCAAACGGTCACTTTTTTAGACCTGAACCCGACCCGCTTCGTACCCGGGTCAACCCGACATGACCAGCCAACCCGATCAGTCCATCGCCTTGCCATCCAACGTCAGCTCCACATCGATCCTCTTCCCCTAGTCCCTTCCTGGGCACAAACACATCACTCCATCAAATTTATTGTTTTTGCCGCTTCTCACTCTTTCTGCCCGCCTGATTCTGAAATCGACGAAACCTCGGCAAACTACCAACGACAACTCAATTCACTCAGGCGTCGGTGAAATAGAACATCTTCGGCTTCGATTCATAGTTCTAGCTTCGCTTGGAGGAATTGATGGAGATTTGAGGTTCAAGATTGTGGATTCGGGAAAGGAGAAGACGGATTTGACGGATGGATTGAGGATTCGAAGAGCTGTCTAATTTGATTTTTTTTTCATTTTTTTTTGCAAATGGATCAATCCGTGTCAATTTCGAGTTAGAGTGTTGACCCGGACCTGACCCATTTTTTCAAACGGGCCGAATTCTGGAACCCAAACTCAACCCGTTTATGAAACAAGTAGACCTTAACCCATAATTTTCAGGTCGGGTTCATGTTGGATTTTCAGGTCGTGTCAAAAATTGACACCTCTACTAATTCCCAATCAAATCACATAATTAGAAAATAAATCAGCCCCCTAATTAATTGCAATAAAGAGCCATTAAAACTTTACAAATAAGACTTTATTATTATTTGGAAATAAATCCAAATCATCCCTCTAGCTTGTCGGCCATATATTGAGCTTGCTTTTCCATAAGTAAACTTAAAGAATGCTAGGACGACTTTCTCCCAAACAAGATATTCCTTAATATGTATGAGTAAGCCAAAGTAGGGTGTCGATTTTTATCTTGCAATCGCTATAGATTCAATCAGTTTAGGATTGGCGACGGTTAGAGAGTTCATCAAATATATTCTTCTCATCTAATTTTTGCTTCATTTGGAACAACTTTTGATCAATGTCTTCTCACTCTTTTTGTCTAGACATTTAGTTTGACTTTTGGATTGCTGAGATCAGAGTTTGGATTGTCCCAAATCTAATTTTGAAAGTTTGCAGTTCAAACATGCCTTGAGATTAGTGCTTGACCAATGTGATTGACTAGAAACTTTTTTTACATAAAAAACATTTAGAAATGAGAACTTTCCTAGGTGTAGAAAATGAAGTTTTATTTATAAACTTTAGATGAGTACTTTGATCAATTAATTTGTCGAGAATCCAAAGCACTTTATCAATATCGATCTGCTTGATTGTATATCGTTTATAGAGCATTTGAATGCTTTAATAACATCATAATAAAGTGATTTTGGACTCCGTAAATTCGTATAGAGCCGCCTGATTTGACAATATACGTGCTATGATTGGATGTCGTTTGATCAATCAACTCATATTTATAATTTTTTAAATAGAATTCAATTGCTTGATTTGAACTTACTTGGAGTAAGATTAAATCATTTGCAATGTAAATAAGTTTATATCTTCGAGACTTTCAGCTCTCCTATAAGTTAACCAAAATCAAAATTAAGATTGTTACGTCATCATAAAATTATCTTGATCGGGCACGAATCTTGAGGCAAAAAGCTAGCCGGAAACTTCAAAAATTAAATCCGAGATCATCTGAACTCCGATTTCAGCAAACGTACAGTCAAACTGAGCGTCTCAGAAATATGAACCCAATGACACCAAATTCAACCCAATCCGAGCCCAAATGGGTCCAAATCAAGGACCCGAAGCACT